AGTTGCATAGAAATTTAAGAAGGCCAAGAACGACACTTTGTTACTTCGACGGATAAAGAAAAACTCTGATTATCAGTTTTGCTTTTACAGACTTCAACGAATGTAAGGATTTCTCCTATGATTGTCCAGCAAACGCCACTTGCGTAAACAGTGATGGTTCATACTCATGTCGATGTCCTGGTGGATTTCGTCTGGATGGGAAAAATTGCCAGGGTTTGTAAACGCGTTATACATAACTGGAACACAAATTGTTGTGATCATCCAGTGCAAATTAAGGACTGAACTTGAACATTGTTTATCATAAACCGTGGTTACCAAACCCTCATGTTTGTGTGTAAAATTAAAATTAACAAATGCTCTTCTTAATAAATTGATTTTCATCTAAACAGATATCGATGAGTGCATCTCAGGGTCTTCTTTCTGCCACCCAAAAGCCAAATGTGTCAATATTCTTGGTTCCTACTCGTGTATATGTTCAAGAGGATATGCAGGCGACGGAAAAACAAACTGTAACGTGGGTATGTAAAAATCAGCTCCTATCCCTCGTGGATCTAATGAAACAAGCTACAGTCGAATCTCGATAGCTAGAACTTAAAGCTGGAGAAGTTGAAAAAGGTGCGAAATATGAGAAGTGGAGGGAAAAATGTACAGAGGAGGAAGAACGTTTTTTGCTGTTCTCATTCTTACAGCCATTACATTTGGAGGAATAGGGCAAAAATGGAACGATTCGGCACAAATAAGAAGCATATAACTCACGTTCTATGATATTGGTTTAAGGAAAACCTTTACCGTAGTACAGCTTCATTAAAATAGACCACACAGCGAAACCTGTATTGCATGATAGTCATTTACTGTTAATACCATAAATATTTGATGGAAATCTAACGGGAAATCGATTTTTTTGTTAGCATTAGCGTCGCGTATTCCAGGCGTTCAGTTGGTTATACAAAGTGCAAATGAACGCCTGCAACAGGCCAGCGTTATCGCTAGTTTTTAATCAACGATAGAGGTTTGGGGTCATTGTGAGTCGAACGTAGTTTCAGCGTGAAAAGCCAAACAAACCAACAAGCCTGAATTCAGAACTACACACTGGGAAAGAGAACTGACCAGCCAGCTGTTTGTCGACCACAGTTTGCGTTTAAGAGCCTCTGATCGTGAATATCGCCTATCCGCCGATAGTTGCAAAATTCTGTAATTCTTTTATCCCCCACCCCCGTAAAACAACGACAAATTATGCAACTTCGGCAAATTCGTACACCCCAACGCGTTTAGAACATTCTATCAGAACTTATGAGCCAAATGAGAAAAATCTACTTTAAACCATTTAGAGTCATTTCTATACTCACAAATTTGTATCTTTAGAAAGGTGGAGGCAGATGACAAGAACTGCATGAT